GTGGACAAACCAGGCTTCACTTATGCTATTGTATTGCCTCTGACATTAACAACATAACTTATTATATACAAACATGATATATCACGGGGCACCTCTGAGTGTGTAGTGCTAATTGAGACAGAGACAGACAGTAAGAGAAAGAAAGGTGAAATGAGTCTTATCACTGTTCTTATACAACATATTGAAGCTTCTGAGACTGATCTTCTGCGTCTCAGGAGTATATAGAGGATGTTTGTAATAGGTGGATAGGTTGTCTTTGTAGGGAGATTGTAAAGAACTGGGTTTTAGGGAGGTTGGTAAGTTAATTAGTTACCAAAAGAAGGTACCAAGCCAGGTAGACTATGTAGCATGGGGAGGAACGTGAGAAAGCTGTTTGCATGGAGCTAGGGAGACTATGTAGCATGGGGAGGAACGTGAGAAAGCTGTTTGCATGGAGCTAGGGAGACTATGTAGCATGGGGAGGAACGTGAGAAAGCTGTTTGCATGGAGCTAGAGGTTAATAGTTTTATTAGAGTGAGCGAGACTGGTGGAATTGTTGGTCGGGTTATTCTGGGCTCTCTCGGCATACTCTTTCTCTCGGAATAAGGCAGAAGGAAGTGTGCATAAATTATTCAAATTAAGTTTTTAATATGCTGATGAAAGCAAGAACCGTGAACGTGTTGATATATAGCCCCTTGTTTTACTGTGGAAATATTCCCAACAATTTAGTGGTTAAAAATGTTCTGGCTGGATCATTTTCAAGGGAAAGAAAAGGTTCATTTTATTTTGTACTAGAAGGCGTACCCTGCGGTGCCCGGGTCTCTCTTTTTATCCCCTCACCCCCTTTCCCCTCCCCCTCTTCCCTCCCCCCTCTTCCCTCCCCCCTCTTCCCTCCCCCCTCTTCCCTCCCCCCTCTTCCCTCCCTTTTCTCCAAGGCAATGGGACCTCGTCTTCCGGCCAGAGGTGGTACCCCCTAACCCTATTATTTTATCATATATATATATATATATATATATATATATATATATATATATATATATATATATATATATATATATATATATATACACATACACATTGTGTGTGTGTGTGCGTGTGTGTGTGTGCGTGCGTGCGTGCGTGTGTGTGTGTGTGTGTGTGTGTGTGTGTGTGTGTGTGTGTGTGTGTGTGTGTGTGTGTGTGTGTGTGTGTGCATAAAGGGTAAAAAATAGGTAACAAATGCGTGTAAAAGATACACACATATGAACGGTCCATGACCTCAGAAGAGGAACATCATACCACACACACATTCACCTTTTCCATTACAACCTGACTTTTAGCCGTGAGCTTCAAAGAGCCAACGTTGCACTCTGTAGACTCTCACGCACTCACTCTAATGCTCACTCTAGAGCGTGACTGTGAGCGCCTCACAGTCACGCTCGTGTCGACTACACGTCAAAGTCATCGTTTCTTGGTAGTTGCCTGTTGACAATTTCGAGAGTTCTTGTGGCCTGTGGCCAGCCTTTCCTGGTGTTTTTTTGGGTCTATGCGGCTGTTTGTGTTCTTAGCCCAAAGTCTCGGATACCCATCACAGCCTGACTGATCCCATAACTCCAGCACAAAGTTGTGTAGTTCTCTGTTGAATGTTTCCACTGTTGTTTTGGGCACTGAAAAGTTTTGGGTCTGTGGTGTTTACATTTTGTAAAGAGATGACAGACCCAAACATCGCTGACACGTGTTGCTGAAGGCCCAGACATCGCTGACACATGTCACCCCTCATCCGTCACCCCTCATCCGTCACCCGTCACCACTGGTTCCTTATCCCTCACTCCTATTACTTTGTTTCTCTCGTGATAAAGAATTACAATTGTAGAAATATCGGACACAAATATTCCCGAGATTGTAGGTAATCAAAGACAGTATATTCGTCATGGCATAATGTAGGAGACGAGAGGTAACGGAATGTCCCCGACGTGATGTAGCGGACGGTAAATGTTAATAGATAAAAGAGCAGATGACACCAGGAGGAGGAAGGTGCAGTAGTAAGATGGGGGGGGGGGGGGGGGTAGAAATAGCCTAAGCTACTCTATCCCTTTGAGATGTATTTTTTCTTGTCTCAATAAACATACTTGAACTTGAACTTGAAGTAAGATGGTCAGAGTGAGTGGCGTACCCCAGGTGTGCTCTGGCAGGGATTTACACAAACAAATCCATCAAGGTGATTGACGAATCACCTTGATGGTTCGTCAAGGTGTAACATGCCACCTTGACGAACCGCTGACAAATATTGAGAAGAACTAGTGTGTGGCGGCGTCTTCTATATACATCACACCGATATAAGATCAAAGAATTGTCTCAAAAGTTCCCACAAGGATAAAAATTACATTTACGGAACCATCAAAAGACGTCATTTCAAGCTGTGTGATCGCAATAGGAATTAAGACAGTCTTGAAACTACATCAACCATCGCCCCGTCAAAACTTGCTGTAGGACGAGTGCGGCGTCCAGCACTTGCCTCGCCTCTCCTCTCAAGTATCTGAGATATGTTTGAAGAGTGGAATATCTTTTCAGTCCTTGACGGCAGGACTGGTGTAACAGCTCTCGAGGGAGCCATTACAAATACCTCTCCAGCGCTCACCCACAAGCTTTATATACATCTATATACATTTCGACAACGTGGCTGGTGTACCTGTGTCAATCTCTTACATCTTCATTATAAAAACATTTTCAGATCTTCAGCCATGATGTTGAGTATCACGTCCCCTCACGTGGAGGGTATAATGTCCCTCACGTGGAGGGTATAATGTCCCTCACGTGGAGGGTATAATGTCCCTCACGTGGTGGGTATAATGTCCCTCACGTGGAGGGTATAATGTCCCTCACGTGGAGGGTATAATGTCCCTCACGTGGAGGGTATAATGTCCCTCACGTGGTGGGTATAATGTCCCTCACGTGGAGGGTATAATGTCCCTCACGTGGTGGGTATAATGTCCCTCACGTGGAGGGTATAATGTCCCTCACGTGGAGGGTATAATGTCCCTCACGTGGAGGGTATAATGTCCCTCACGTGGAGGGCATAATGTCCCTCACGTGGAGAGTATAATGTCCCTCACGTGGAGGGTATAATGCCTCTCACGTGGAGGGTATAATGCCCCTCACGTGGAGGGTATAATGCCCCTCACGTGGAGGGTATAATGCCTCTCACGTGGAGGGTATAATGCCTCTCACGTGGAGGGTATAATGTCCCTCACGTGGAGGGTATAATGTCCCTCACGTGGAGGGTATAATGTCCCTCACGTGGAGGGTATAATGCCTCTCACGTGGAGGGTATAATGCCCCTCACGTGGAGGGTATAATGCCCCTCACGTGGAGGGTATAATGCCTCTCACGTGGAGGGTATAATGCCTCTCACGTGGAGGGTATAATGCCTCTCACGTGGAGGATATAATGTCCCTCACGTGGAGGGTATAATGCCCCTCACGTGGAGGGTATAATGCCCCTCACGTGGAGGGTATAATGCCCCTCACGTGGAGGGTATAATGCCTCTCACGTGGAGGGTATAATGCCTCTCACGTGGAGGGTATAATGTCCCTCACGTGGAGGGTATAATGTCCCTCACGTGGAGGGTATAATGTCCCTCACGTGGAGGGTATAATGGCCCTCACGTGGAGGATATAATGTCCCTCACGTGGAGGGTATAATGTCCCTCACGTGGAGGGTATAATGCCCCTCACGTGGAGGGTATAATGTCCCTCACGTGGTGGGTATAATGCCCCCTCACGTGGAGGGTATAATGCCCCCTCACGTGGAGGGTATAATGTCCCTCACGTGGTGGGTATAATGCCCCTCACGTGGAGGGTATAATGCCCCTCACGTGGAGGGTATAATGTCCCTCACGTGGAGGGTATAATGCCCCTCACGTAGAGGGTATAATGTCCCTCACGTGGTGGGTATAATGTCCCTCACGTGGAGGGTATAATGCCCCCTCACGTGGAGGGTATAATGTCCCTCACGTGGTGGGTATAATGTCCCTCACGTGGAGGGTATAATGCCCCCTCACGTGGAGGGTATAATGTCCCTCACGTGGTGGGTATAATGTCCCTCACGTGGAGGGTATAATGTCCCTCACGTGGAGGGTATAATGTCCCTCACGTGGAGGGTATAATGTCCCTCACGTGGAGGGTATAATGAGAAGGATATATATATCCCAGGTTAGGTATTCCTAATGTTTACACATTAGGAACTAACATACACGATGAGCGGGGTGTGTGACGGAGCAACTGTGCAGTGTCTGGCTGCTGGTGGTGTCTGCTGTTGTGACGTCGTTCTCCTACCTAACACTACGTCGTTTTTAACGCACTCGACCAATCTGATAAAAATGCGACGGAAGAGTAATACTTAAAACACCGTAATGTTGACGTTTTCTATGCGTGGGCCACGACTGGTTAGATCAGTTGCTTGTGTTTGCGGGGATTAAGAAAACGAACTGAACACAAAGTTATTTCATCTATGATTGTTCCATTTTACAATATTTTTTGGTGAAGAACCCAGTGGTGGCAAAACAGGCTTGAGTGACGTTGAATCGACGTTGAATCAAGGTGGTTACCCACACACACACACACACACACACACACACACACACACACACACACACACACACACACACACACACACACACACCTCACACAACACAATAAGCAATATAATAATAATTCAACAAAATACAATACAATAAACTAGAATACACGTGTATATACTATTTCAAATAGTGCGGAATGAATTACATTGTAACAGAGGTCATACTTTGACACTTAAAGGTATGACCTCAGCGTATCCTGTCTCAACTGGTTAGGCTCCGTCATAACACCTGGGTGATGGAGGTGGTAATAGTGGTGATGGTGGTGGTGACCGTGGTGGTAATAGTGGTGATGGTGGTGACCGGGGTGGTGGTGGTGGTGACTGGGTGACAGTCGTGGGTGAGCGGCGTGAACCAGTAAGTGATGGGTGATCAATGAGCAACAGCTGGTGTGGAATGTGTCAGATATTGCACCAGTCATTCCTCCACCCCGCGCCCGCTCACTCCTGCCGGAGGCCCTGCTCTTCCTGCACCTCTCCTCCTCCTCCTCCTCCTCTTCCTGCACTCTACACCAGCCTAGGCTCAGGGAGAGACAATATTCAGAGTTTAAGACACTCGCCATATTGAGAGGACGCCATCTGGAGGCTGGGAGACACACTGACGGTGTCGCCCCAGCACTGCGGGCTGCTCCCGGCCCGCTCACACACCTGCTAATATATACACGTAAGTTAACATCAAGTTTATTAAGTATGTAATGCACAGGGAAAGTCCAACATGTGTCGCACACACTGTATGCAAGCTTTTTGGCATAGGCTGTGTGAAAAGTGTGTTGCGCGCACACACACGCACACGCACACGCGCGCACGCACACACACACACACACACACACACACATACACACACACACACACACACACACACACACACTGTGTGTGTGTGTGTGTATGTACTCGTGTGTGTGTGTGTGTGTGGGTGTTCATGTGTTAGGAGTTCGTGTTCGTGTTAGGAGTTTCTTTCACCCTGATGCCCTCGTTACCTAGCAGTAAATAGGTACCTGGGAGTTAGACAGCTGCTACGGGCTGCTTCCTGGGGGATGTGTGTGGAAAAAAATTAGTAGTTAGTAACAGTTAATTGATTGACAGTTGAGAGGCGGGCCGAAAGAGCAGAGCTCAACCCCCGCAAGCACAACTAGATGAATACAACAAGGTGAATACACACGATAACCCATCCAGTTACTTGACATAACCTGTGTGGCTTCAGTCCTATGATCAGTACAATCACTACCAACCAGGTGATTGATACACCACCAGCAATTATCTTTTTAATTACCGTAACTGCGAGCGATCAGCAGCATAAACACATACGTTGCTTCATTTAATTGTCAACAGTTATTTTGTCGTGCATTTAGTACTAATAGAAAGTAATTGATTAATCAAAGTTGATAATGGTGAGTGTTGTAGTGTAGGAAGTTGGTCACCTTAAATATGAGTATGATAAAAAGTTTTGTAAAGAGTGAGGAAAGCGGTAGAAACAGTTGGAACATTATCAGGCCTTAAACCCTGCCTCTCCTCCGTCCTGGAGTGTGAAGCCAAACACAGATCACCTACTCACGATACTTTAGGTAACAAGGTAGTTCATCTGATCACACATGTATCACAAAGTATAACCATTATTATTTTCTTACCTAACAGTTCCCCACGCTGCTCTGCCACCATCTCACCTCGGCAACTACCACCAAAAGTGACAAGCAAGAACCATGGAAGAAATTGTAACAAATGCACATTTGTCACAGTTTCTGATATTACAATTCATGTGGCATGATTGAGGAGCATTGTTGTTGCCTCTGAGGGACGAGAGGAGCAGCATGTGGCGGAGGGCAGCCTTCGTCAGCAGGTGTAGCTGGCTGGGGCTCCGTACTGGCTGCCTCACCATCGCTGCCCTCTACCTGGTAGGTGTGCGTCTCGTGTCTACCTGGTAGGTGTGCGTCTTGTGTCTACCTGGTAGGTGTGCGTCTCGTGTCTACCTGGTAGGTGTGCGTCTTGTGTCTACCTGGTAGGTGTGTGTCTCGTGTCTACCTGGTAGGTGTGCGTCTCGTGTCTACCTGGTAGGTCTGCGTCTTGTGTCTACCTGGTAGGTGTGCGTCTTGTGTCTACCTGGTAGATGCATATATCATGTAGTAGATGGGTTATACTACAGTGGCCGAGTCTGTTGATCTCTTGCTCCCGCTGGTGGCAGCATCAGTATATAACTGATCAGTATATATCATATACATAACAGTATATGATTATAACAGTATATATCATCACTGATATAACACTTTACACGTCATCCAGGATCATCGCCACACATTAACTCTGCCCATAAAGTCTAAGAGAAAAACAAAATTAAAGTTTATTTAGTGTTTAATAAATTAAAGGGTGAGTATTATGATGAGATTTGTTTAATGGCCAAACAACGCATCAGAAGAAAAACTTCTTATATTTTGTTCTTAGTTTAGAAGAAAAAAGAAGTCGTTTCTTCCGATGATGATGAATGGTTTGCTCATCATATCATCAGCCACGTTATTGTGACTCATCGTCTGAATGATTTTTTGTTTAATTTTGGCGGGATCGTCACAGAAAGATTTATAATATTGCAAAAAATAATAATGCTTAACATAATAATTCAGAGTCGCGTCATAGTTGTATTGCGAGATTTTTCATGGGGGTACATTTGGCAGAGTGTCACGTGGCAATCTGTTCATTGATACCAATCACGACCCACCCGTATTAGACTCGTACCCAACAGCAGTTACTGTTCAAAAATGGATGAAGCTAGCCCCAAGCGTCTGGACTCAACCTCGCCAACTTCTTGTGCTGTCCCATGAGAGCTGAGCCCTAGTGGGTCCTCTTGTTGGTGATGGTCCAGAGATGTAGGACGGGTCCTTCGGGTAGGGTAGGGACGGGTAGGACGGATCAACCGGGTATCAACCAGGGTCCGTCGTGTAGGGTAGGGACGGATAGGACGGATCAACCGGGTATCAACCAGGGTCCGTCGTGTAGGGTAGGGACGGGTAGGACGGATCAACCAGGTATCAACCAGGGTCCTACGGGTAGGGTAGGGACGGGTAGGACGGATCAACCAGGTATCAACCAGGGTCCGTCGTGTAGGGTAGGAACGGGTAGGACGGATCAACCAGGTATCAACCAGGGTCCGTCGTGTAGGGTAGGGACGGGTAGGACGGATCAACCAGGTATCAACCAGGGTCCTACGGGTAGGGTAGGGACGGGTAGGACGGATCAACCAGGTATCAACCAGGGTCCTACGGGTAGGGTAGGGACGGGTAGGACGGATCAACCAGGTATCAACCAGGGTCCGTCGTGTCCCTCTAAGTCGTACTCTTATGCTGCCTGGTTAACAATGTTACTCTTAGGGAGAGTTTTGCTGCCATTGTAAGTCTTCCAGGACTCTCCCGGCGCCTCAGGCTGTGGTGGACGCATGTTGTCTTGAGAGCCTCGTTGGTGTTAAAGTCCTTGCTGACTGTGGACTCCTTGGCTGTGCTGAGTGTGGGTGTGCTCTTGACCTTTGAGCTTGTTGTTGTCGGCTTGTGACATTAACCTCTTGCCCTGCTCTCATTACCTCCACCTTCACCAGATATGTTTCCTCAAGATACTTTTATCTAAAATTTTACCATCAAAAAATTACAAAAAGAAGCTCTTCAAGTTTCAACGTTTATTTAAGTTTTGTGCCATTTAGTTTTAAAAACAAAAATTATATTTTAGTATCTTTAGTTTTGAATTTCATCGTTTTTTTCAGCAATTATGATCTTGAAAGGTTATAAGGTTCTGATTCTAAAGGTTAATTAGTCATCGGAGTGTTTTTTTCCTTGACAGATGGTGTCGATGATCGGGATAATCTTGGCCAGCAAGAGCATCGCCGCTGAGGGAGGCGTGAGCGGCCGAGCTGGACAAGACCTTGGTGAGCCACGAGTCATATTTATCATCTCACAAAATTGTAATCACCGCCCCAGGTCGCCAGACATGACGGCCCGGCCTCTCAACGTGAAAGTACTTATAGTAACTATTTGGTGGAAGTACCAATATGTGGTGATAGACCACCACAAAGTTGACGTCTGTATTATTGAATCTGGATAAATCGGACACTTTTCTAACGACAAATTAAATGTAAGACTTGTCCCTCTTACGGCGGTGCATATCCTTGGTGAATGTCCAGACTTCCAGGACGTGTGTGTGTGTGTGTGTGTGTGTGTGTGTACTCACCTATACTCACCTATTTGTGCTTGCAGGATCGAGCATTGACTCTTGGATCCCGCCTTTCCAGCGTGTGTGTGTGTGTGTGTGTGTGTGTGTGTGTGTGTGTGTGTGTGTGTGTGTGTGTGTGTGTGTGTGAGCTTCCCGACTGTCCCTCGCGGTCACTTGTCCCTCGGTAGAATCCTCGGTGAATCAGATACCTGTTGATACCACCCGCCTTTAGCGGGTTTGTTAACATTAGCATCCTTAGTGATATTTAGCGCCTCTTGAACATGCTGCAACTTTGATGGTGCTACAAAGTCTCCCCGGCTTGGTGCCGCCTTTTGATAATTACTTAAATATAAGACCTAACCTAACCTCTCCTGCCATGCCTAGGCCCTAAAACACAATATCTTAGGTCTAATATAGTACATATATGTGCTATACTAGGCTTATGAATATTAAAGCTTGTTATTTAGCTTATTTTTTCCGGACACAGTCACCACCCAACCCGTTCTCGCACTTTCTTACAGTCAATATTGACTTATTACTTAACCTATATTATATTACTATATTATATTACTTATTATTACTTAACCTATACCTATAATAGGTTAAGTAATCATTGTAATTACGAAGCATTAAGATGCTTATCTTAACATACTAAGAAGGTTAGGTAAGGTCGGTGTTTTCTATGAAGCTTTTCAAGGTAAACTAGTATGTTTAGTATGTCACATATGCACGTATTTAATAAGTCAATATTGACTATACGAAAGTGCGAGAACGGGTTGCACCACCACCGCCTAGTCATCACCACTATCTTAACAAGTCACCACCACCGCCACCACCTAGTCATCACCACCACCACCGCCACCACCTAGTCATTACCACCACCACCACTACAACTACAACAATCTCCTACAGGCCACCCAGAGAACTGGACAGTATTAGCGGTCTCCGTCGCCTTCGTCTTCTTCGACGCCTTGCTCATCGTCGGTGTGGTGAAGGTCAGTGGCCTGTCTCCGGTGTGGTTCAAGTTCGAGTAAGTTTATCGAGACAATAAAACACATCTCAAAAGGATAGATTACCTTAAGATATTTCTACCTTGTTCTATTTAAGGTCCCTCAAGGAGCTCACAAATCCATACATTACACAAATATTAATCATATTTTATATTTCACATTCGAATGGTAAAGACACAAGGTGTTCTGTGAGGTCTCTTATTGATTGTGCTGCACCTGGCATTCTTGTTTTGGTAAAGATAAATTAAATAAGTTGGAGAAGGTACAAAATGAAGCCATGAGAATAATCTTAGGATGTCCAAGAAATGTTGTGATTCAGATAATGAGGATGAAATTGAACTTACAGAGTATTGGGGTTAGAATTTCAGAAATAAGTGTAGTTTTGGCGATCAGATTAATGTGAGGCGAGGGAGCTAATGAATTAATATTCTCACTTCGAAAGGTGGGAAGAAATGAACAATGCATGTTATGAAGACTAACATGAATGTTAAAGTTTTAATAAGAAAGTTTATATGAGAACCTTCAAAAACAGATATAATAAAATCAGGAGAGACTTCGTATAGAGTTGGAGGGCACCGCTCTTGTGCCAGGTAAGTCCACTACGGGCTCACCATAGCCCGTGCTACTTGCCCCGCTCCTGTGCCAGGTAAGCTACGGGCTCACCATAGCCCGTGCTACTTGGAACTTGTTCCGAGTAGCTGAATCTATAACAACAACGTGTAGAGTTGCCCCATATATCCTACAGGTAAGCGGAGGACTTAAGAGAGACGCCACCAACACGCAAGTTATATTCATTAATTATCACTTTCAAATCAAATTTCAATGTTCTGAACTTTCAAATTATTAATGATAGTTTTTATAAAATACCTTTTTTATCAAATCCATTGTAAAAAAATATATAAATGTACACATAATAACAGAATCCACATATTTCAGATATTAGAGTTAGGTTACATCTCTGTTTTGATTTACGGCCTGTGTGTGTGACCCCCGTCCCCTCCCTCCCTCACACAGAGCAGTTACGTGGCAGTGATGTTCTGGGTGTTGGCTCTGCTTGTGTCCATAGAGGTGAACTTGGTGTTGGTGGTGCGGGACCTCGTCCAGCCTGGCTTCCCCCTCCACCACGCGCTGCTCCGTCTGACCGCTGCTCTCCTCCAAGCTCTCACCATAGCCGTCGTCCATTCCTACTCTCTCACAGTACGTTACATGTATTCAAATATATTCAACAAGCTTGAATGGTCCCTAGGCCAATATGCAACCGAAAACTCCTAACCCCTGAAGGATTCGAATCCTGGCAGCCAAGGCTCCATGCACCTTAGCATATCAATTCACCCGTAAGTTCACCAGTACTTAACTCGCTAGATCACAGGGTGAGGAGTTTTCGGTATATATATATATATATATATATATATATATATATATATATATATATATATATATATATATATATATATATATATATAACTGAAAACTCACACCCCAGAAGTGACTCGAACCCATACTCCCAGAAGCAACGCAACTGGTATGTACAAGACGCCTTAATCCACTTGACCATCACGACCGGACATAAAGACCGGACATATGTCCGGTCGTGATGGTCAAGTGGATTAAGGCGTCTTGTACATACCAGTTGCGTTGCTTCTGGGAGTATGGGTTCGAGTCACTTCTGGGGTGTGAGTTTTCAGTTGCATATTGTCCTGGGGACCATTCAGGCTTGTTCGCATATATATATATATATATATATATATATATATATATATATATATATATATATATATATATATATATATATATATGAGTAAGGCGAAAAATCTGAGCGATTATCGAGTAAGAGAACAGATCTGACGTAATAAGCATTATCTACTCAAATGATGGAAAGTGGGAATTATTCGCATGCTGATCACGCAGAGAGCCTCCCACCTCAACCAATCCTCTTTGTTTTTATCACTTCAGCTACCCACCTAGACGTCTGGCTTACGTTGGAGGAACCTGGTCGACTGCCTGACACGCTACTGGAACCTGGTCGAGTGCCTGACACGCTACTGGAACCTGGTCGAGTACCTGACACGCTGCAGGGACCTGGTCGAGTGCCTGACACGCTACTGGAACCTGGTCGAGTGCCTGACACGCTGCAGGGACCTGGTCGAGTGCCTGACACGCTGCAGGGACCTGGTCGAGTGCCTGACACGCTGCAGGAACTTGGTCGAGTGCCTGACACGCTGCAGAAACCTGGTCGAGTGCCTGACACGCTGCAGGGACCTGGTCGAGTGCCTGACACGCTGCAGGAACCTGGTCGAGTGCCTGACACGCTGCAGGGACCTGGTCGAGTGCCTGACACGCTGGAAGAGACAAGCTGGCTCTCCACATCAGTAATACTTGCTCCAGTGGTCTTAACCGAAGAGGCGTGCCCAACTGCGTCTACAGTAGAAGATTCGGGACATGAGCAGAAATGTGCATCATATACAGTAGAATACCCGAGTGGTGAGCAGAAAGTGGGAGACGTTTTGGTAGTAAAAGACTCTGGTCATGGTCAATAGAAGACCCTATGTCATGACCATTATACCATATATAATATAATAAGCATACATAAAACTAATACAAGATAAAGGAACAAGATGGTGAAGAAATTCAAATACATAGTGTTACAACAAGCGCTAGGACATGTATATCATTAGTATTAGACACGCGGGAACCGCAGCGGCTGTAAGGAACAAG